TCTTGTAGCTTGTTTGCTGGCAGATTTGAAGTTCTCCAGCGATCTCCATGGGCTAGATCGCTGGAGACTGTGACATTCACTTTTACAGCATTTTTTTTACATTTTATAATGAACGCATTACAATAAAACAAAAACAATTTCATTTATAATGCAATTACACTGGCTTTTGCCTTGATTTGCTAGCCGATGTCTTCTGCACAGTCCTCTATCTATCAAGTGACTACTTACATTTTTAAAAAATAGAGATTCCTTTACAAGATTTAATTGAAACATTTAATTTCAGTTGGCTTTTTTGTACCTCAGCAATAAAACAAACAAAAAAAGTTAAATTAAAGTTAAATTGTCAAATTAGACATGTTAATCACTGTGTTACAGTCATTCACCCCAACCCCCTCTATCATTCTCACTCCCAGATTGGTTGGTGGGCCAAATCAAAAGGTTATAATGGGCCAACTTTGCCCCGTGGGCCCTACTTTGGGCATTTCTGGTATAAAGACACAAAAAGATTATTTGAATAGTTGTTTTCATTTACCACTCAAAGGTTTTATTTACCACTCAAAGTATCCATATTTTCTTAAGAAACCCATGAGCAGTCAAGTCTGAGGTTAGGAGCTCATCTAAGAATCTAATACCATAATATCTGCCTGTGCTGACCCACTATCCTTATATTAGTGTGCTTGGCTGATCAGGAGCTCGTGAAGCGTTTAAGAACAAATGACTTCATAGCAGATTCAGAGATCCAGGGCTGAACACTGTAGTGTCGGATGAGCTCAGATTTCCAGCACACCCTCATTCAACTACCCACAATCCTGTGCTCCAATACAGGCCAAACTCACAGTCACTCACTGGGCCAAAAAACAAAGTCAGTGCTCTCGTAAAGCAGAGCGTGTTTTTTTTCATTTAAAAAATCATGTGAAACATGACATTTAACTGATGAATAAGGCATATGCTAAATGCAAAACACTCTGCCAAGTAGTTGAGAGAGAAGATTGTATAATCCCAACTACACAATCGTAGCATAACTTTAGTGTAAACACAACCCAGCAACCTATGATGATCTCATTAGCCACATGCTAAATCCTCAAACACATGACAACATAAACTAATGTCCCTCTAATACTGGATTTTTAAGTTGGAGTATGAGGCTTACAGGAGATTATGGAGTAAACACATTGTCTAAAATATTGTCTAAAAAATACTATTATATACGAATAATTAAAAAAATATGATTAAAATAAAATGTATATATTAATATTATATTATAAAATATAATAATTCAAATGATTATTTGATATTTAATATAATGAATAACAATAATAACAATATAATTATTATATTATATTATATTATATTATATTATATTATATTATATTATATTATATTATATTATATTATATTATATTATATTATATTATTGTGGCATATTAAATAGCTAAAATCAATCATTTTAGAAGCTAAAGTGTATTTTTAAACCAAAACCAACAATAAAATATACAGTATGACAAAATTATATTAATTTTAAGATACAATATTAGTAGTATAATCCAATAAAATATATTGAATTATTATTATTATTACTATTATTATCATCATAATACTAATTAGGGCTGGTTAATATATCGTTTTAGCATCGATATAGTAATGTGCACATTCACAATAGTCACATCGCAGGAGTGCTTTAAAGGTACCAGGAGCCACAGCTCAGAACACAAAAGAGTTTAGGGTTTCTGAAAGAGTTTATTTAGCCATAATGAAGTGAAAATGTATAATTTGCATGTGTTTTAGACCAGTGACTGTGTAAGCATTTAGGTTGGAGTTTAATGTATTCAGGGATAAACATTTGTACTGTTTGTGACTTTATTAAAGATGTAAATATTAAAATATTTATTCAATAAAGACTATACAGTGTTATTTTATATTTGATGATTACATTTCTGTACCTGAATACTGTGATGTAAAATATTTCACTTCTGTCTATCCAATAATACAGAATAATCCCCAGAATAATGCCAATTCTTCTTAATGACTTAATAGTTTCCATATATATATATATATATATATATATATATATATATATATATATATATATATATATATATATATATATATATATATATATATGGTAAAATTCTATTCATATCACAATAGAAATTGCAGCAAAACAAAAAATCGCAATATGATTTTTTTTTTCCAATATCATGCAGCCCTATAATACTAATATTTAATTGTTGTTTTGTTTTTCCTTTGTCTGTTGTTATTATTGAAAAATACTTAATATTTACTATTAAAATATTACAAAATTCTTTAATTAAATTGAGTATGAAATGACGGCAAAGCTAATTTAAAAGATAATGTACATTAACAATTTTGCACCCTGCGTCTATTAACCAAACTAATATTGCACAAATAATATACAACAAACTGATTTATGAAACAATAGTAACCGTTGATTCCATGAAATGAGACTGGACTTATTTTTGCTAAAATTTTTATAATTTGGCATCAACATTCATAAACGCATGCAACAGCACAAAATCACATTGTACATAAGATCAGAGAGAATTCAGTGCTGTGCTGATGTCATATGAAGTCCTTTTATGCAGGAGATTAATGGTGTTTGACAGAACAGTGACACGCACTTCTATTCATCCTGAAACAAGGAAATCCCTCACTAACCAACACATCTCTTCTCCTCTTCTCCTCTTTTATCACAAGCCTCGAAGCGCCAGCCAGCCATCATACACATGACTACAGATCACAATCAGCTTGGCAGAACAACCAAAACACCCACAACAGGACAACAGCTCAACAAATCACAATCGACATCCTCATTCTTTAACCTTAAGACTCGGGTTTCATTTTCAGTGCAGTCTGATGTAAGAATGAGTAAGAGATTTTCAACTAGAACAAATTTGTATGTCGCAAAATAACAACTAACAAACAACTTTAAAGATAGGAACAAGTGAAAAAATATTGTTAAAACTGTAAAAAATTTATACAATTATTTTTTGGCATTGATGGTTCCACGAAGAACCTTCAACACCTGTGGAATCTTTATGGAATCTGTGGTTCTTTAACCCTTTAACTACCCCACCAAGAAAAAAATGTTTGGATTGCAGTTAACACACTCAATGCATTTTTTTTTTTTACACAGTCTATAAATTCTAAAATATCAACCTCTACCAAATTGTAGATATGTCTGTTTATGGTGATTTTTATTAATATTTGAACATTGAATTATGTTTAAAATACTTGTTTATTTATTCTTTATATTAGATTACGGTTTTTATATGGGGGATTTTGGGAATCTCTTCATCATATTTAATCAACCACAAAAAAAAAAAAAAAAAAAACATATCCCTCTGTAAAAAATACAATAAAATAGATTTAAAATGTTTATAAAACATAAATAGTTTATAAATATAAATAGTTGTAAAATAGTTTTAAATGTTTAAATAATTATTCAGGTCATTAAAATGTGGCTCTTTGAAGAATTTTATTTTATTTATTTATTTATTTATTTATTTATTTATTTATTTATTTATTTATTTATTTTTACCAAAATGGGCTTTTTATTATACTGCTGCAAAACCCTTTTTTGAAGCTTCATTTTTAAGAGTATACACTGTACAAAATGCTGGGTTCCACACAATTCATTCATGTTCTTTCAACACATATTGATAAAGTTAACTTTATAGTTTTTACAAATTTAAGTGGACTGAACATAAAACAATTAAGATGTCCCCCAAAAACACAAAATAATAATGTTGTTTCAACTCATTTTAAATAAGTAGTTTAAACAAGCAGCAAAAGTCATTTTTGAGTGAATTTAAACATTTCAGGTGCTTAAAACTCTAATAAAATCATAAAAACATATATTTTTTGTAAAAACACCTGCTTTAGAAGTACTAGGCATGGGCCTAGCCCATAACAGTATGTGGTATGATTATCTGCAATCTAGCAATCACAGATCACTTAAAACTACAAATCTGCCAATAAATGGACTAAAAGATCCAGTCATGCACTGCACACACATACACACCTGCTTTAGGTCTCCGTTGATTAGACTTACACAGCTGATGCTGCTCATAGACTGATTACAAGGATTATAAAGTCAGCACACAAATAAACAGAAGTTGCTGAGTCCTGTGTAAACTGAACATTAAGACGAATTTCCCTTGCCTTGTCCTGCAGCGTTTTCGCCTTGTTTTGTTTGTTTACTTCTGTCTGCTGCCTGCCTTTTGACCATCTGTCTGTTTATTTGACTTTGACTCTGGATTGCCTGTGTATATCTGTTTGCCCCTGTGTTGACCGTTGCTTGCCTGACCATCTCTGTATAATTAACCCTGCGTTTGGATCATCAACTCCCTTTGTGTCAGCATCATTTTATGCAAAAGTATGATAACCTTGAATAGAAATATCATGGCTTCACAGTATTGTGATTACACCACTAAAATATATCTTTTTAAATGTCTGGTTAAAAAACTCAAACTGTTTTCCCCTTGGAATGCAATATATTTTATTTTAAGAAACTTTGAAAATATTTTGGAGCAGTAAACATATCAGGCTAAATAATTCAATTGAATCATTGACTTCTACTATCTTCATTTTAAAAACAAACATTTCTAAAAAGGTGTGTTTGGAGATCTTTTCTGCTGGAGATACAGTTGTCTTAAAAAACTTAAAACAAAATGTAAAAAAAAACTAAGTTACATATACCATAGCAAAGGTATATCAGACATTTTTGGCAATTTTAAAACCTTGACTTTTCCAAAACGCAGTATACCTTGAAAACTGTTATCGTTATGCCTAGGAAGCACATCACCTAAAAGCTTGTTAATAGTATCAATGCAATCAAAATGCTCCATTGCAGCTCAAAGGGAAGGACAACTTTGCCTCAAACTAGACTGAAGGAGGACACAGAGGTTAAGAGAGTTCCTCAACTGAACTTGAAAAGATAAAGCTCACAAGACGGACAAGAAAACAAGTGATGAGTTTACCATTGCAGAACTGCAGCAGCGAGGAGGTGTCATAGAGACTGCTGTAGCTGGAGAAACCGTCCTCCATTCTCGTCCTCCTCCTTTCTTCCCTTTCTCCGATAACTCCCTGTTACTTTCGCTGGCTGGCCACGGCGGCTCTCTGTCCATTCAACATCCAGTCTTCTTGTGGGGTCAGACTGCCAGTGTCAGCCACCATGACAACCCATTCACCCAAGGCCAACTCAAACAGTAGAAAAAAAAGAAAGGAAGAACATAAAATTGCAGGTCTTCTTGTGCACTTTCCCTTCCCTGGTTTTCCTGTTTGAGAAGAATCAGCCAGGGCTTGAGCTCTGCGAGGAGTGTGTGCGAGAGCTGAGAGTGACTGACTGTTTGTGTAATGTCCAGGACACTCCGCTCAGCTTAAGTCTGACAGTGCTGAACAGACCAATAAGAGTGCAGAGGGTGGAGCCACTCTCAAAACATAAACCCTCCCCCTCCAGCTGACTGAGACGCTGCTCTGATGCTGAAGCCAAACAGAAGGTGGATGGAGTTGTAATAAAAACAAGCTGGTGTGAATTGATATTTAAATTTTGTAAATAGGTATTATCAATACAATGTATGCTTTGTGAATTTAGGAGACCGTATTCAGAAGGGTAGCTGTAGTTAAATCATGGAGTAAAGAGGATTAAGGATAAATGGGTGGGGATCAATCTAAGCTTTCACGTTTCATGGACGCTGACCTGTAAAACACATTTCAAGCTGTTCTGTTATAGAAAATTATATCACAAGGACTGTTTTTATATCTAAACAAACCAATGTTAAAAAATAAGAAAATGAAATTTACTTATCCCAAACTTAAGTTTGATTAATTGAACATTTAACTCGATTACAATACAAGAACAATTATAATATTGATTTATTTTTAGTTTTTGCCCTCATAGTTCACTGACAAGTTTTGTACAGTAAATATGCTTACATATTAGTGAGAGATGTTTGAATGAAGGGTGCATTACTTGACTTTAAAATAATTTAAGTAAACAATCTACTATCTATGATTATTTATTAAACAATAATGCTAAACAATTGAAATTTAAACACACATTGCCTAAAACACAGCTCTCCGTGCCACCCACCCTCGTCATGATACCAAACCGACCAATCACAAAGCTTATGCTATGTATCATTGTGACGTGTAGTTACATTTTGTTGAGGTGTGCAGGTGCATGCCATAGCTGCGTTGGACCATACATGTGTTCTTGGTAGAGGTTTATCAGAATAATAAAATAAGTATAAAACATAATAAGTATAAATAAGCCTTGAAAAAGTGGGGTCATGTGACTCCACACACGATAGGGAAAGCTACTTTAAAAATTGACCTGGAAAAATGAGATTGATTACAGGTTTGGAATGTTGATTTCGATTACTTTTCGATTAATTGCTCAGTCCTACAACAACATAGTAAAATGTATTACTGAGAAATAATATTACAAAATCTGATCTTTAAATCTGACCTCTAATTGTGAAACCACCAGAAAGTGCTTTCCAATATCTGAAATAATGAGGTTTTTGATTAAACATCGTAGATTTTTTTTCTCATTCACTTACACTTTTTTTCAAAAAATTGCTCATTTTTGTCAAATATGGACAAATAGGACAAACAGTTGTGTTTAAAAAAGTTACATTTAAAAATATATATGTATTACTGGGGCTAAATATTTCCAAATGTAATATTACTAAATTTAAATAAACAAAATAATTCACTCTACAATGATGGGTTGTATTATCCCAACACTGGTTCAAATATGGACAAATACATTTTTTAAATGAAATTTAAATACATTTTTTTAACCCAACTGTCGAGTTTGTCCATATCTGGTTTAGGGTGCACTCACACTAGGCTATCTAAACTGTCTCCAGGCATGTTTAACCCCAATTTCCCGATTCGTTAGACAAGTGTGAGTGCTCCGAATTGGGCCCAGGCGTGGTTCTGTTGGCCAGCCCTGGCGCAGTTGGAAGAGGTGTGCCAGAGCGTAGTTCGGTTGGGCTTTTAAGGCACTGTTTCACATGGATTTATCAATCATTCTTACTTTTAAATGAACACAAACTGTCATAGTTTAATAAAGATACAAACCCCCCGCTGCACCTACAGCAAACCTAATATGTGCAGCATGATGACTTACACGAACATTTATAAATGTCAAAAATTGGTGAACTTTTCAGCATTAATTTGACATTACATATGTGTGTCATTACATTTCAAATGACTTAAAATAATACAAAACATTATAACTACAACTATCTCCATTGTACGGAGCAAGAGCGATTCGCTCCTGTTAAACTGAACTGTCACATCACCGATGACGTAAACGTGCTCAGGCTCGAAAGGTAAAATACAATGTGAGTGCAGGTCGAGGGGGAGAGGGGAGTGGGGACAATCGCGCCTTGGAACGATTCAAGACAACAAGTGTTGCACCAAAACAAAACAACCAAGCATTTTACCATTATAACTAAAGAGAATAGAACAAAAATAGTCAGGTGCTATAAGTTAGTTTTGTCTTGCTACATAAAAAAAAAACAGACATGGGCCGGTATAAGAATCTGATGGTATGATAACCTTGCATAAAATATCACAGTTTCATGGAATTGTGATTACACATCTAAAATATGCTCCTTTAAATGTCTGGGTAAAAAACTAAAAATTTTCCCCCTGGAACAGAATTCATTTCATTTTGAGCAATACTAAAGAAGAAAAGAAGCCTTCTCTCATGAGGAGGAAGGTTTTTGGGAAATTTTCTACATATGAGAAACAATACATGACCTCACACTTTCCAGACTTTATTCCATATTCCAAACAAGCTTGTAGCGTAAAATCAGAGCACAGCTCCGACTCTTCAACCCTTATCAGCCGTCAGACAGACAAAGCTGTCTGGAAGACCATCAAAGAGACACCAAGGTTGGCAGACATAGAATGAGGGAGACTTCTGACTGAGGGTCGTCGCAGGGGAAAACCTTTTTAAATTATTCAAGAGGCACATGCATACAGTGCAATATGCATAAAGATGACAGCGTGGCCTATATTTACACATCTCCAAACAGAAACAGTCAAACGATAAAAAACGAGACAGAAAAACCGCAACAGCCTCTTTACAGATTAATCTCCCCATCCCCCAATCCAAAATAACAGCAAGTGGAGGAGAGCTGTGTCTTCAATTGGATTTCTGGGTTGTCTGTGTTCAATTTGGCCATGGCTTTACCTCAGACGCCGGAAAAATTAAACAATCAGAGGAGGCTGATGGGATGATTTTCATGTCGTTTATGGTGTTTTTCTTGTCTGGATGCCAGCAGTGTTTTTTTAAATCTGGCATCAGAGAGTCTTTAGTGTTTATTCCTGTGCCCCATAACAGCGCTGACACAAAAAATTCTGTCCGTCCTGCTGAAGATCAAATCAAGGATTAGCCACATCCAGTTTTTTCCTGCTTTTGTCATGTGATGTAGTTTCTTCCTCTGAATGTATTAATATAAAAAGGCCTTTGATGGCGGTTAATTATTACTTTTGGTTTGGTTGGCAATTTTGAATGTTTTGCACAAATACACTGTAAACCCAACAGTCAACTTTATCAAATTAAATGAGTTTAGTTAACTAAGAATTGACTGAAAGTTCATTTTACTCATTTGAAAAGAGTTTTGAATTCAGTGTTAAAGGTAATGAGTTAATTAAATACCTCATTACATCAACTTAAATTGAATAAGTTCACAGTACTCATATAGATAATTTGTTTTAACTCAAATGCTTTGTAGAAATCTGTTTCCTCAAACAGTTTGAGTTGCCTTAACTTGTTGGGTTTTGCAGTACACAGTTGGTTTGAGTTCTCTTCATTTATTGGGTTTTCCTGTGCTCAAATTGCTTCGTTTACTCAAATGGAGCAAGTTCACAGTACTTATTAGGATTAGTTTTTGAACTTAAATGATTTGTTGCAATCGGTTTCCTTAAATGGTTTGAGTTACCTTCAATTTTGGGGTTTACAGTGTAGTGTTTATATTATAATTACATAGACGAGCATGTTCATGCAAGATCTGGTTTCATATAAAAATTAAAAATATGAAATAAAATAAACAATTTACCAATAAATAACATTTATTGTGTTGGTTTGGGCTATAAATGACATTTTTTCATTTTTTAAATGAATTTTATTTAATTGAAGCAACCTAATTTAATTTAATTTAATTTAATGAAAACTAATTAAATTATATTATTAGATTTATCAGTTGATCTGATTTGTATTTTGTCTTATTTTATTTTCTCAAATCAAATGAAATCCAATCCTCAAAGTCACATGCACATGAAATAAGGTGGCCAAGCAAAACTGACATAAATGTTTCTCTCAAATTTCGATATTGTGTTTTTAATATTTATCATTTTAGGCTTAATAACAGTATTAGTACAATAGATGTATCTACAATCATTTTTTGGTTTATTTTTGCCATTGGCTCCTTGCATGTTAATGGTGGCCCAGGGCAAACAGAGGCAGATCTGGTCCAGTGGTGAAGCTGTGAGATTACAGAACCCCAGAGAGACAGATACACAGCAGGGGGAAGGGGAATAGGCAGGAGAAACACTTCATCATCCCTCTGAAAGTCTGGCATCCCTAGGGTGGAGCAGAGCAGTGCTACACCCTCCCATTGTTCTTCAATTATACAGGTTTTACCTCAATCACATTACAAATATACATGCACATGCATAAGTGCCCTATAAAGACGTAATAAAGTGTATTTTACACCCACTATATTTTATTCTCGATTTATAGTTTTGATTGTTTTATGGTACTTTATTTAAACGTTTTAATATTTCATTTTGTTTCATTTATTCATTCATTTTCTTCTCAGCTTACTTCCTTTATTAACCAGGGGCCACCACAGCGGAATGAACTGCCAACTTTTTCAGCATATGTTTTACGCAGCGGATGCCCTTCCAGCTGCAACCCATCACTGGGAACACCCACACATCCTCATTCACACACATACACTACGACAGTTTTAGCCTACACCCAATTCACCTATAGCGCATGTTGTTGGTTTTGTGGGTGAAACCAGAACACCCAGAGGAAACCCACGCCAACACGGGGAAAACATGCAAATCCACACAGAAAGGCCAACTTATGGAGTCAATCTAGGGCCATATATACTTGCAAAATAAAATAAAGCTTTGCAAACAAAAAATAAAGTATTGAGCAAAATATAAATAAAAAAGCAAATCTCCAAAAAATGCAAAGCAAAAATTTATTTTTAAGAAATAAACATTCATTTTGCTAACAAAAATAAAGAACTGCAAAGGAAAAAATAGAGATAAAATAGTTTAGAGAAAAAAGAATGTAATTTGCAAACAAAAAAAGAAGAACAGCAAATAAATATTAAAC